TAAATAGTGTGGCTCCCTTTTCCTTAACCCCTTTTCACTGAGAACGTATGCCCGAGTAGGAGTGGGTGAGAATGGGGTGTATGTGGTATCACTGGATGTGACTGTTCTGGATGGGAGCAGCCTGATGAAACTCCATATGTGAATATGTTCCCTGTCTGCCTATGTTTGATGCAGATAGTAAAACTTCTGTAGATCCTCCTATCCTGACCACCAAGGATGAGACTGGGGTGCTATCTTATTAAGGTTGCAAAAAGTCTTGGAGGCTGGAGAGAAATAACTCACTAGTTAAGAGTGTGTACTTCTTTTGCAGAGAATTTGAGTTTGAGTCCCAGCACCCTTGTTGGGTAGTTTACAGCTGCCTGTAACTCCAGCTCCAGATGATCCAGTGCCCTTCTCTGACCTTCACAGTCACCTGTGCTTGTTCACATAATTTAAAATAGTCTCGGAGGCTTGTGTTTCCTAGGCAAGCATTATTCCACTAAGCTGTATCCCCAATTCTTTGTATAGTGTAGCCATTCAAGGGTATATCATAGTCATGACTTTTTGTCATGTTTTGGAGGTCCATACCATATATAGCACCTTACTCAGAAGATGATGAAATAGTTCTGAGTCAACTGAGCAGCATTGGTCCTCCGAGGAACTACTAAGCAAGAAACCTAAGTCGTATCCTGGTCTGTATAGACAGATAAACTAAGCATACAAGGTGTACTTAGTTTGGTTGATTACAGACTGGAACATCTCTGGTACTTGTGCTGCAAAATAGATACTTCTGTTGGGATTTGAATTACAGTTTCTATTGCTTTCAGTCCTGCCATTTAGGCATTCCTGATTGTGTAGTCTTTTCACTCATAAATTTTGTCACTGTCCCTGTGAGTTGGTACTGAGGGGCAGAGGTGAGGCTATTTGGAGAAAGATTGTTGGGACCTCTGCATCAAGCTGTATACATAACAGACGGTTAAGAGTCATTTTCCCCAAGACCTATAGGAGCACAGGTTGGTAGGTTATTGTGTGTATTGGAATGGTTTGCTTTTACTTGTCACTGTGGACTTCTATAGAGTCTTTAAAAAGACTGGCTTGCTTCTACATAACAGCAGTGAGCGAATTGGGATTTCAAGTTCCTTTATCGGCTAAAATGATTGAAAATGCCTTCTAATCTACAGTGTACTTCCTAGAGGAAGTAAGTCCTATGGTTAGATGATGAGTTGCAGACCAAGAAGATAGCACCAAGTACATGATGGAGAATCAGCATGGCAAAGGCAGAGAAGGAAGTATAGACTCAAGACATTTGGGTCTGAGATAAGCTCATAGAATTTGTTTTGAAAGTCCAAGGGATATGGTGCTACAGATTGGCCAATTATTAGTTTAAGTAAATTGTGGTAAATGCTATCCTTTCCCAGTTCTATGTCCTATGGAAAACTTATTAAGAACATAAGCTTTGGGGAGATGGCTCATGGTTAAGAGCACTGGCTGCTCTTGCAGAGAACCTGGGTTCAGTTCCCAGCACCCATATGGTGGCAAACAACCATCTGCAAACTCCAGTTCTAGGGGATCTAATGCCCTCTGGCCTCCGAAGGTATTGCATGACACAAGTGCACTTACATGCAAGCAATATGCTCATACACAGGTATCCAGAGAAGCATAGCTCTATTAACTAACTCTTCTTATGTCAAGTGAAAATTCAGAATTGCATTGTCTTTTGAGGCTTTAAGAGGGAGATAAAGTGCTGTCAGTTCCATCTTTGGCCAGCAGGTGGTAAGTTTTCAATTTGGACCCCATAGATATATGTTTGGGCTAAATAAAACTTGAAGATGGCTATAGTAACATTGAATAGTGATGTTGAGAGGACTTAGAGGAACATTTGTACCTCCTGAGTAGCTTGCTTGCTTTTTTTTTTTAAAACAAGGGGAACCATACCAAAGTATGAGAATCAGAGAAGGCTCTGCAGATAGGAAGTGGAGGTTCAGGGCAGGCTGGAGAGACAGCAGTTACGAGAAAGCACTGACTGCTCTTGCAGGGGACCCAGGTTCATTCTCAATACTCAAATGGTGGCTAACAACTGTCCATAACTCCACTTCCAGCGGAATCTGACACCCTCTTCAGACCTCTACAGACATTGCACAACATGGGTGTACTAACATACATGCAGGCAGAACACTTATAAAATAAAAATCAAGATTCAGGGCATGCTTGAGCAGTACAAGGTTATGTTAGTAAAGGAATACTTGAGTAAACTTGGAGAGGTCAGGAACCATGTAAACATCATCAAACACCAAAAGCGAATTTTATCCTAAAAGTGTGTGGAATTTAGGTGGAAAATAACATTGTTAGATTTTAGTATTTACCTTGGAGCTAGGGATGTTGATCTGCTAGCACATGCAAGGCCTTGGGTTCAGTCCTTACTACCACATACAACAAACCAATTCATCCCCCCCGCCCCTATTTAAATTTTTTTCTTTTTGAGACAGGGTCTCCCTGTAGCCCCAGCTGTCCTGGAACTCACTATGTAGACCAGGCTGGCCATGAACTCACAAAGATCCAGATGCCTCTGCCTCCCAAGTGCTGGATTCTACCACGCCCAGCCTTTAAATCATTTTTTTAGAGATTTAATTACATATGTGTGTCAGTGAGTGGGTTCATATGAGTGCAGATGTCCATGAAGGATGGAGGTAGTGGCTCCTCCTGGTGCTGGAGTTCTAGGTAGCTGCGAGCTGTGCAGTGTGGGTACTGGGAACTGGGAACGTGGGTACTGGGTCTACTACAAGAACAATTCCTGCTCTTAACCACTGGGCTATCTCTCCAGCCCTTAGTTTTTACATTTAAATTTTATTAGTTTATGGGCATGCACTGTAGTAAATGTACACATAGAGGTCAGAGGACAACTTTCTCCATTCTGTGGGTTCTAGGGATCAGACTCAGGTCCTCAATGTCAGTGATAAGCACCTTTACCTGCTGAGCCATCTCATCCTCCCCTTTTTTTTTTTTTTTTTTTAAAAAAAAAAAAAAAACCCCCCCCAGTTTCCAAGAGTAGAGTGCGGTGTCGCCATTTATTTATACATTGTTGTGCACAGACAGTTTACCTTTGGGTGGGGGTTTGAGAGTCTGGCAATGTAGGCCAAGTTGGCCTCAAACTTGGTTCTCCTTACATTTGCCTCTGAAGTGCCAGGCTTACAAGTGTGTACCATGACATTAAGCTTTATAATTCACTTTTCAAATATCCTTTACAGAAGCAGTAATGTGCATGATAAAAATTTAGAAAAATACAAGCAAAAATTTGTTTTTGAGGCAGTTATTCAGATTGATCTCAGCCTCCCAAGTGCTGTGTTTGTAGGTGAATTACTGCCATGCCTAGCAAAAATTCTTCCAGTGACCAGCTATTGTCTGTGTTTCCAAGTAGGTATGTGAATATCTATACTTAGTATTTATTTTTTCTTCACTGTAATGAAATGCTCTACCACAGAACAGTACTACAGCCCCACATATATTTTAGTTTATTGAGGCAGTGTCTTATTTCATAGTCCATGGTGGCCTTGAACTTGGCCTTCCTGCCTGCCTCCAGAGTGCTGGGGGATTATAGGTTTGTGCCACACTTCCTGGCCTAATGTATTTTTAAAACAAATTGAGATCATAAACCTTTTTTTTTTGAGACAAGATCTGTGTAGCCCAGGCTGGCCTTGAACTCGAAAGTAATCTTCCTACCTTAGCTTCTCAAGTGCTGGGATTATAGGTGTATGCCACCATGCCTGGCTTCCTACTACTTTATAGCTTTTTTACATTTATTTAGTGTACATGAGTGGAGATCAGAGGACAGTTTTCAGGAGTTGGTTCTCCCACTGTGTGGGTTCAGGGGATTGAACTCAGGTTTGTTAGACTTGGCAGTAAGTCCCCTATGTAACTCTGAGCTGTCCCCATGGCCCCAGCTTTATAACTTTTAGTTAATAAGCTACCTTTCATTTTAGTAATTTCCTGGCGGTCAGGAACTAGTCTGATAGTTATATATTCATATTTGACCCAAATTCACAGCTATTTTTTGTTTGTTTGGGGTTTTTTTGTTTTGTTTTGTTTTCTGAGACATCTCAGATGGACTCTGTCACAGAGATCTGCCTGCCCCTTCCTCTTGAGTGCCAGGATTAAAGGTGTGTGTGGTGGTATGCCTGGCAAAGCTTATTTTCTTAGAAGACCAGGCAAGAAGTTCAAGGCCATCCTGGACTATACGGTGAAATCTTTGTCTCAAATGCTTGTTTCAAAAATCCAAAGATAAAAAAACCAAAACCCAAAAAACATTAAAAAAAAAAACCCACCAAAATCCAATAGCAAACCCCACCCACCCTTTTGGTTTGGAGTTTCTTTTGGTTTGCTTTTTTATTTTTATTTTTATTTTTTTTCCTTTTCTCAATAAAGAGCCAAAAACATGGAAAAAGATGCTTTTTTTTTTTTTTTTGCCTTGGGGGCAGATTAGCTGACAAAGCAAGAGAAAAGAGCAGGACAAGATCTAAGGCTGAGAAGAAATGGTTAGGAAGATACACAGAAACCAAGCATGGTAACACAAACCTATAATCCCAGCACTTGGGAAGCTGAGGGAGAAATAAGTCTGAGGCCAATCTGGGTATAGCAAGATCGTGTCTCAAAACAAAAAGAACTGATCAAATGGGCCAGGAGAGATGACTGTTAAGAACACTGGTTGCTCTTGCAAAGGACCTAGGTTTGATTCCTAGCACCCCCATGGTGGCTAACAGCCATCTGTAACTCCAGTTCCAGGGGATCCAATGACCTCTCTGACTTCCGTGGGCATTGCATGACATGGGTGCACTTACATACATACAGGCAATACACTTACATAAAATAAATATTTTTTAAAAAGTTGATTGGATGAAGGACGATGTAGAGGATTAAGAACAACTGCTTAGACTGGTGGTACTCATGTAAACTTTTATTTTTCTGTTCATTTGGTAGAAAGCCTTTGTCTCTCAAGAGTAGCACTATACTGCTCTGGCCCTACAGCCTTACCCTAAAGAGAAGAGATGTAGAGTCATGAAAGTCTGAAAAAGAAAGTTAAACCTGCAAAATGGCTGATCTTCATTTCTAGGACTTGGTTCGTAAGGGATTCGGCTCTAGCAGAATAAGGAACTGATACCCCAGTGACCTAGACTTCAGAGAATACTTGAATGGGATTTATAGTCAGTCTAGTTGAACTTCTTTATTAGGGTTTTCTTTACTTATCTGTTTCCCACCAGCGCTTGGTTTGACTTAGGTCATGGAGTACTGGATACCAGTACTACCATACTTTACTGACTGGATTTGGTGGGCAAGGGTTCATGGGTACCTAGAAATTTGGTTAACATTTGGAAACACTTGGAAAGGGGAACTTGGAGTACAGAGGGTGGGAAGTGCATTTTCATGTTGGTCCAAGGACAGTGCTTACGCTTATAATGGTGAGGCTTTGGGGTATCACCAGCTACAAGTCCTACCCTTCGGTGACCCTGGGGTCCTGTAGCCTTGGAGAGAGGCTGCTGAGGAAGAACAGTGTATGGAGTGCTCTGACCTCTGTACTGAGGCCTAGAAAATTTGTTTCTATGTGCTTCTGCTGGTCTCCAGGCCTGTGGAGGGTGGCTATTCCCCATGACAGTGAATGAGCACAATCTTGCAGTCCCTTCTCCACATCCCCCTGTTTTGGATTTTCTGGGACTCCCTGTCTTTTGGTCTGAAAATACAATTATAGTCTTGTCTTGTCTGTTGTCTGAGACCAGAACCCCTGTATTTGAGGACTTTCCTGTGCCTGAACAGTTCTTGCCAGCCTTCACATGAATACACCCTGGGGATGGGATTTGGGTCACTATCTTCTGTTTCATTCTCTTCTTTTTCTGAGACTCTTGTTCTACTCTGCCAGAAGCTAGTAGCTGAGACTGGAAAGAAGAGCAAGAAAAGTGAGGCACCTGGACAGGCTGAGGTACTGTCCACTGAACTTTTTTAGGGTTACAATGTGGAGAACAGGGGTGCAGACTGAGAGGAGGAGTCTGATGTGGGGGACAAAAGGAGAGTCCCCAAGAGCTTGGAGTTGGGGAGTTTAGGACTGGAGAGCTGTAAAGTGAATGACTTGGGCCTGGGGATTGGAAAGCAGAGCTCTGCCGAAGTTTCTTAAGTCTGAGCTTTAATTCTTCACTCCATTGCCAGGCTTGGATCCCAGGAGCCTTGACCACTTCAGGGACTGCCCCACCCTGAGAAGATGAGGCCTCTGCCTTGGCTTCTGAGAACATTTCTGCCTTCTGTAGGCCAGGCTGGATGGGCTCAAACTCTAGGGCTTTAGCTAGAATGGGAGACCAGGATGTTGGATGTAGATTCACTACTGGAGGTCTGGGATGCTGGGAAGTCTCTCTTTCTTGCATATTTATGCATATAATCTCAAAGTCAATGTGTGGCTCTTGTGAAGAAACAGAGTGTGAGCTGGGGGCTGCTTGCTCAGTGGCCCAGGAGGCCTTTCTCTGCTCTGCTGTCCCCCCTATAGGCTTACAATTGCACTGGTCTCCAGAAGGCTCACTTATGTGAGATTTTGAAACAGAGTTTGGAAGTGGGTTGGGGACCCAGGCTGGGAATACAGAAACACAGTTTTCTTTCTGCTTCATGTACCCTTCCATAGGCACAAAGTCACATGGCACTCCTGAGGGGCTGGCTTCAAGCAGGTATTGGGGTAAGCTGTGAGCTGGACAGTCAAAGGCCAAGGGTTTTTTTCTTATTTGAATGTCTTTATAACACATTTTAGAATTAAATGGATCCACCATGGAACTCACTCTCAGGGGTTCTAGTATAAGAGCTGGGGATGGCTTGAGTGCTAGACATGGAGTCTCAGAGGCCCAAGAATTCCTTGAATGCTCAATATTCCATATACTTTCTGATCTAGGGAAGCCAACAACAGTATTGATGCTTTGTGGTTCTATAACAAGGGCTAGAGCTGTTCTATGGATAGGATCTGGGGAGTCAAACACACAGAGGTTCTCTCCCTGCCCCTTGGTCTCCCACAAAGCTTTAGACTCTAAGGAAACTGCTTGGGGACCCATTACTATGGAGTGAGGCAGAGAGGATGAGGGAGGGCTAAGAGATGAAACTATGTTTGCAGAGACCCAGTGATTTTCTCTATTAGGCCTACTCTTCCACTGAGCCTCAGAGCCGGATGGGACACATGCAGGAATGGTTGCATAGAGCCATGTGTTGAAGTCCAAGACTGGGGTTTCAAAGGCCCAGAGATTTCCTGAATTTTCTCTGCATTGCCCCCAAGGCTCATATATGGACAGGTTTTCTAGGGGACTCTTTTTCTGGGAGTCTAACAGGGAGTCTAGAGGAGGGCAGGGGGCTGGCATTGGAGACTTGGCAACCTTCAGATTCTGTCTGTATCCCATGTTTCCCCAGAAGTCTTTAGGTGAAGAAAGTCTTCCTTTGGGGTTAATGTTTTGTAGTTCTGACAGAGAACCTGAAGGTTGATGGGAGGCTGGCATCAGGAGTTCAAAAGCTTGGGGAGTCTCTTTATGTACAATGATTCCCCACTGAACTTCGTATCTAGGTTGAGTTCCTGGAGGGACAGTTTCTTGAGGTGTTTTTGTAGATACTGTGGATTGGCAAGGGGTCAAGATTGAGGGTTCAGATATCTGAAGGTTCTCTTTTTGCTCTGTAGTTTCCCAGAAAGTCTTCAATCCAGACAGGTCTCCTACTGGGTTGACTCTTTGGCATTCTGACAGGGAAGGTAGGCTTGGGCTGGCAGTTGGCATTACTGATTCAGAGGCTTTCAGGTACTCATTTTGCCTTATGGTCATCCGTGGGGCCTCAAACCTAGTTAGGACACCCTGAGGACTAAAGGGATACAACAGAGAGACAGAACGTGATTCTGGATTGTGTTGATGGAGGCTGGAGTTTCCCAGCATCCCCTTCAAGTCCTCAGATGACTTTAAGAATACAGAGTGTCTGATTCTTTGGAGTTCAGGCTGTGAGTTCAGTGCTTGACTCTTAGAGACCCAAGGAACCTCTCTCTGCTGTGTAAGCCACTGTGTATGTGCCTCAGCATCAGATAAGACTCCCTTGCAGCCCACAGGCAAAGGCTTAAGATGGAAGGATAGTGATGGTTTAGGAGGGGAAGATGGATGTGGAACTAGCTGAGAGGTAAGGGCCATTCCTGCCAGATCTTCCACTGTATGGGCGTCAGGGTTAGGATAGTGGGTTGGGGAAAAATAATAGGGAAGCAACAGGTTGTACGCAGGTAGGCAGGCAACCTTGTTGAAGAAGACAGAAGGACAAACAGACAACTTTAGTGGAGAGGGACCATCTGAGCTCAGGAAAATAGTCTCCAAGGACTCGCTATGTAGAGAGGGGAGACCCCAGAAGAGCTGGCTTTTTCTCTGCTGCAGGGAGCTCTCTGATGCTATCTTGTTCCTCACAGGTAGATTGTTCAGGATCTGGAATGTAGGGAAGGATCTGAAAGGGCTTGAAGGCTGTGTGAATACTTGCTCTGGTATCTCTGTGGTCTTGGGGAGGCCCTCAGAACTACAAGATGGCTGAGGTGGGGCTGTGGTGTCTTGATTTCCAATGAGAATGCCTTTGGAAAGAGAACATGGTTTCAGTGGCTCCAGAGTAAATGATTCTTCTTCCTTCTTTTCTTCCCCATCTTCTTCCTCCTCTGACTTTTGCTTCCATAGGCAACTAAGGAAGGCCAAATGGTGTAAGAGTTGAAGGCTCTGTAGAATAGAGAATGTGATACTATTAGGTATGGAAGCTTTTCAGAGACATAAAACATGTCACAAATTCATTAGTTTCTGTTCTACATCCAGAGTAAACAGCAAACAGATAAACAGTAGCACCTGCCTACTAGTAACTGCCCAAACAGTAACTCACTGCCCGTGGTCAGTGGTCATTTACTCAGGTCTTCAACAATTATTGATGGTCCTAACCTAGTTCTTAGCGATCTGCATTTCCTCACATAACCCTAGGGTCATTGATAAGTCGCTTATTTTCAAATCCCATGTCAATGAACACTCACCTAGACTTTAATATGGCTTATGATTACATGTCTGAGACCACATCCATAATAACGATTCTTCGTCTGACTTCACATGTCAATAGTTACTTATCTAGCTCCACATCCACCAAGGTCACCCACCTTGTATTGCACCTTCATGTCTCCAGAGCACCAGGGCTGATGCTGGTGCCTCCCAAGCTGCCACCATCTTTGGATCTGCCAAACCATGAACAAGAACAGTATTACCAGGTTCCCTGGACTCTGGAGGCAGATGCTGCTATTACAGCGTCTGCAGGCTAAAGATTGGGCCAGCTGGTTATGGAGAAGCCCCATATTTCCCTCAGCCTCAAGTAGGTCTTCTGACAACCATTCCATTTTCTTTAGCCTAGTGGCAGTTTATCTTGAGGTCATCACTACATCATAGAACAAAGAACTCCCATCCCCCACATGGCTGAGGTCTGATACCTTCCTCCTGGTGTTTAGGAACAAAATGTTGCCTCTATCAGACAACTCATCTCATATATATAACAAAACAGAGCAAACTGGAAGTGGGGTGAGGCAATAAACTCTGAAGCTTGCCCCTAGTGAAAAATATTTTGTTTAGCAAGCCTCCACAACCTAAAGTTCCATAACTTCCCCAAACAGCATCACCATCCTGGGACCAAATGTTCAAATACATGATCTTATAGGGGACATTTCTCATGCAAACCACCATAACATCGTTGTTAAAAATCAGGTGGTTATAGTTTTAGGGCCTTGTAACCAGGTCCTCTATTCTATTCCATTGATCTATGAGTCTGTTTCCATGCTGATACCATGCTGTTTATATTACTATGACTCTGTAGTATAACAAAATCAGATATGGTGATACCCTCAGAAGTTTTCTTTTTGCTTAGGATTGCTTTGGCTCTCTGGGATCTCTTGGGCTTCCACATGAATTAAAATTTTTGTGAATTTGTTCCATGTTTAAGGATGTGTGTGAACTCAACGTAGTTGAAATTCCCCCCTATTGTTCATTTATAGCTGATCCACTTTCCTCATCTGAATGTGATTGCCCATGGCTGTCAACAGCTTAGGTAGCCCTTCCTCCTGAATGGTACAAATTGCCTCTTTTCAAAATTTTAAATTTTATTTTATGTATATGTGTGTATTGCCTACATGTAGATAAGTGCACCCATGTCGTGCAATGCCTGTGGAGGACAGAAGAGACTGTCGGATCCCCTGGGACTGGAGTTACAGACAGTTGTTAGCTGCCATGTGGGTGCTGGGATTCGAACCCAGGTCTTCTACAAGAACAACCAGTGTTCTTAACCGCTGAGCCATCTCGTCAGCCCTGCCAATTGCCTCTTTATCAAAGCAGACAAAAGCATTTCTGATGACATCTTCAGAATCTGTACCATTTTACTTTTTGCCAATCATTCTGAGAAACATGGGGAAATTGATGAGGTCTGCAGCCTCCTTCATCACAGCATCTAGATATTTATCAGCTGGAGTTCCCCACAGGAAGACAAGCATATCATGCAAACCTTCCTTGCCCATGAAGTAATCTCTGCTTTGCTCAATCATGTTGAAGACCTCTTTTGATTCTTGGATTTGTAACTCGTCAAATATGACAAACACATCAGATGTTGCACACGGAAGGCACTGCTTGGTGATCTCGGGCTTTGCCCCTTTGACTGACTTGGTGGTAGCTTAACCCCTGCACAATCATGGGAGTCAGAGTGCGCCTTAGTGAAACCCTTGCTGCCGTCATCGCTCTTTTTCATTTCTTGTCTTTCAGCATCAATGCAAAGGGAAGAAAAGCAAATAAGCATTTACTGGTCAAGGTCTTCTTATTCAGTTCTGAGCACTTAAGAAGCTGCTTACTTCTTTTTTTCTGGGTCCACAGCTTTCAGGACGTTAACTGCCAGAGCCATTCCTGTCATCGAAGTTCTTAGTGAGGAAACTCAAAGGAAGAATCAGAAAGTGGAGTGTCAGAGTTCCTGCTCTGCTTCCACTTGGAAATGAAAGCTCCAGAGCCGATGAGTGGATTTTTGCCCACTAGGTGGCAGGTGTGAGACGCAGTAGAAGTACCTGGAGGCCCACTTTCAGAGTCCTTAGTTTGGACACATTATTTAGCTTCTCTGAGGCTCATATTCCTCCTTGAGATAGTCTTGGCCTGTCTCCCTCACAACATAGTATGAAGATCATAGGGGATAATGTTCAAGAAAGTACTTTTAAGTAGAAAATCTTAGTGCACAATTGGGCTTGTTAGTTGTTCCTGGCCACTTGGCCTTAGGACTCAGTCTCCCGAAAACCCTCCACAATGGACTGTGTTCCTCAGCCTTCTCCCAGGCTTCTCTTGCCCCCTCCTATCTCTACCACATAGGACCACCTTGGAGAGCTTGCCAAACAGGAAATCATGCAGCACAGATGCTGTTTGCTGGAAAACAAGAGTTTTGATTAATTAAAATTAATTAATCTCTTCTTTACCATTCTTCCTAGCCTGGCCTATGTGACTCGAGTGCCTTAGTGCAGCTGGGGTTGAAATGGAGGTGGTGGTGGTGGTGTGAGCAATCCATAGAGAATTTACGAAAGCAAGCCCTGGCACAAAAAATAAAGAAGTATCAGGAATCAGCGATGTGGGAGAATGCGACCCCTGTCAGGCCTACAGGGTCCTCCTGTCCCCGTTCTGCCCAGGCTGCAGGATGCACTGCCTGTCTTTTCCTGCCATCTGGGCAAGATTCTTGGTGAAGGCGTCTTGCAGCAAGTTTCCTGCTGAGAGGATCGTGATATAGTAAGGGTAGAAGCTGACCTGCTGTTTGGGGAGCTGAGGAAAGATGCTGCTTCTGCCGTGTCCCTGTGGCTTCCACAGTTCCCTGGTGAGTCTTCTTTATCTCTCTGGATTCCGTCCTCTCAGACCCTCTGGAAAATCAACTGGCAGTTTCTTTGGGTCATCCTGCTCAACACTGGCCTGTTTATCAACCTGTCAGATACATACATAGAGACCGCACAGATGTGCTATTTTGCTGAGGCCTAAGGACCCTGCAGAGGCCCCTCTTCCAATGTCGTACTCTTTATCAGCCTTTACTGTCTCTCTTCTTGTGATTAGACTCAGCTTGTTAGTGGGCTCTACTCCCTAATCTCTCTTTTCATTTACCTCAAGAACAGTAGCCTCTCTCTCTCTGCCATGGAGGCCACTTTGCCATATGTTGTCATTGACCTCTTTTAATCAACCACGTACTTTATCTCCTTTACCTTTTCATTAAATTTTTTGTCTTTTTGAGACAGGGTCTCCCTGTAGTCCCAGCTGGCCTGGCACTAGCTACATAGACCAGGCTGGCCGCAATCTCACAAAGATCTGCCTGCCTCTCCTGAGTGCTGAGACTAAAGGCATACTCTACCACACCCAGCTCTTTTCATTCATTTTAATTACGTTTGTTTGTGTACTGTGTGTGTATGTGTGGGTACACATGTCACAGCACACATGGAGATCAAAGGATAACTTGCAGCAGTTGACTCTCTCTTTCCACCATGTGGATCCCAGATATTGAACCCAAGTCATCAGGCTTGGCATCAAGTACCTTTACTTATGGAGCTATCTTCTTTACTTTCTTTTCCTTTTAGAGCCCTTCTTGAGACCTGCTGGCTCGTCTTTGTTCTTTAGTTAACCTGCTTTGACTCCACACCTGACTTTTTCAGCTTTGCCAGCAGGGTCTCTGCTACTAGGCCCTCTTCCTTTCAAACTTGTATTAGTTACTTTTCTCGGTGCCAACTCTGCTGCCAGTATGAGATGTAGTCTATTCCCGGCTGTTGCCACAGCTGTAGTGCTCTCTGGGTACCTTGGAGCTGACCCGAGAAAACACTTCCCTAGGCAACTGTAGAGCAGGGAACCTTGCAGTGACAGTCTTAGTTCAGGCTCTCTCTGTTCAAATGATTTTGCAATCAGAAGATAAGACTTTTGATGGTTGGGGTATTCCCCAGAGCACCTCTCCTATTATCCTAGTACACAGTCTCTGTCTCTCTTGTCTCTCTGTCTCTGTCCCTCTCTCAAATTTCTTTTTCCTTTTGGGGGAGGATTTTTAATTTATTTTTATGTATATGAGTGTATTGCCTGCATGTAGATAAGCGCACCTGTGCTGGGATTAAAGGCATTTACTACCATGCCCAGCTTGCCTGCAACTTTAAACTTCCTTCGGCTCCTCAGTCCTTATCCTCCCAGACTGCTGTTCCCTTGAAATTGGAGTTACAGACAGTTGTTAACCCCTGTGGGTGCTGGGAATTGAACCAGATCCTGTAGAAGAGCAGACAGTGCTCTTTAACTGCTGAGTCATCTCTCTAGTGCCTTTGGTGCGGGTGTTTTTCCCAGAGCTGAGGGTAGAACCTGGGGCTTTGTGCTTGCTAGGCAAGCACTCTACCACTGAGTTAAATTTCCAATCCCCCATTCTTCTTTCTTTTTTATATGCGTATATTGCCTGTATGTAGGTAAGTGCACCTGCGTCATGCAATGCCCATGGAGGTCAGAAGAGGCTGTTGGATTCCCTGGGACTGGAGTTACGGACAATTGTTAGCTGCCATGTGGGTGCTGGGATTCAAACCTGGCTCTTTTGCAAGAACAACCAGTGTTCTTAACCACTGAGCCATCTCTCTAGTCCCCCATTCTGCTTTCTTAACACATGTATACCATAACCCTTTGTTTTCCCTCCTTCCTTTAAGTTCTCTTCCTTCTCTCCTATCCCCTTTCTAGGTTCATGACCTACACACACACACACACACACACACACACACACACACACACAAATCTAGGTTTTGCATGTAAAAGAAAACATGGTATTTATCTTTCTGAATCTGGGTTTATTTCACTTCATATAATGATTTTTGATTCTATCCATTTTCATCATTAAAAAATACACATATTTAAGCCAGGTGTGGTGGTGCACACCTTTAATCCCAGCTCTTGGGAGGCAGAGGCAGGCGGATCTCTGTGAGTTCAAGACCAGCCTGGTCTACATAGTGAGTTCCAGGCCAGCTGGGACTACAGTGAGACCCTGTCTCAAAAAGACCAAAAAAAAAAAAAAAAAAAAACCAAAAAAAAAACCACCCCCCCATATTTTAGCATTTATTTATTATCATGTATGTGTATGATGTGTATATGTAGGCATGTGAGTTCCACAGCATGTTTGCAGAGGTCAGAGAACAACTTGGTGTAGTCAGTTCTCTCTTTCCATTCTACAGGGGTTCTGGGGATCAAATTCAGGTCATTAGGCTTACTCAGCAAGTGCAATACCTGCCGAGCCATCTTACTGACTCCAGTTTGGTCCATTTTCCTGTAAATATCACGATTTCACGTTTCATTAAGGCTGAATAAAGTTCCATTTTGTGTATCTACCACATTT